GGTATACAAAACTGTTGTAACTTGAAACTATCAAAGTTATTTGCGGAATAGGGAAAATACAATATACTAAGAAATTTACTCTGTACCAAAATTGCAATGATATCCCAATTTTACCAATTAAGAAGTTTTGCAGGAATAGGAAAAATACAATATACTAAGAAATTTACTCTGTACCAAAAATTGCAATGATATCCCAATTTTTGAGACTTAAGTTTTTGAGTAAAGCGATATGTCAAAAGAAAGTGCTTTTCTTATGGATTAAAATGAGGTATACAAAACTGTCGTAGCTTGAAAACTTTCAAGGTATTTGCAGGAATAGGGAAAATACAATACAAATTATTGGCAGGAATAGGGAAAATACAATAATATACTAAGAAATTTACTCTGTACCAAAATTACAAAGATATCCCGATTTTAAGAATTTAAGATTTTTGAATAAGCGATATGTCAAAAGAAAGTGGGTTTCTTATGGATTAAAATGAGGTCTACAAAACTGTCGTAGCTTGAAACTGTCAAAGTTATTTGCAGGAATAGGGAAAATACAATATACTAAGAAAATTTACTTTGTACCAAAAATTGTAATGATATCCCAATTTTACCAAATTTAGGAACTTAAGACTTTTGAATGAGCGATATGTCAGAAGAAAGTGCGTGAAATTCATTTGCAGGAATAGGGAAAATACAATATACTAGAAATTACTCTGTACCAAAAATTGTAATAAAATCCCAATGTTACTAATTTTAAAAACTAAAGATTCTTAAAGAATCGATATGACAAAAGAAAGTGGGTTTCTTACAATATACTAAGAAATTTACTCTGTACCAAAAATTGTAATGATATCCCAATTTTACCAAATTAAGAACTTAAGATTTTTGAATAAGCGATATGTCAGAAGAAAGTGCGTTTCTTATGGATTACAATGAGGTATACAAAACTGTCTTAGCTTGAAAACTGTCAAAGTTATTTGCAGGTATAGGGAAAATACAATATACTAAGAAATTTACTCTGTACCAAAAATTGCAATGATATCCCAATTTTACCAACTTTTAGAACTTAAGATTTTTGAATAACCGATATGTCAAAAGAAAGTGCGTTTCTTATGGATGAAAATGAGGTATACAAAACTGTCGTAGCTTGAAAACTGTCAAAGTTATTTGCAGGAATAGGGAAAATACAATTGTAGTGTATCACTACATACTTCTATTTCTTTTAAAAACTTGTATTATTTACTTTATGTTATTGTGTTTTTAAATCAAGTTTTATATTTTTTATTTTCAAACTTGTCTTTATAATTTTCCATTCAACAAATAAATTTTGTACAAAGAAGTTATTATAATAAATAAACCTTTTTATAAAATAAAATAACTTCATTGGCGATCCTGCAAATAATTATATGAAATATAAATAGCGAACCAATATTAAAAACAAAATAAATTAACGCAAAAATTAAATAGATGCAAAAATATATAAATTAATAACAATATTCTCAAGCAATCATTACAAATTCAGCATTCAATTGTGAATAACCCAGCTTTATAATTATATATGTATGTGATACTTGGATCAATAAATAAAAAAAAAAAAAAACCAAATATATCAAATCTTTGCCACTTGAATCTAATAACTCAACAAACATTAAACTTCAAAATACTTCATCAAGAGAAATTGTTCAATTCAAGAAAATGGAAAGGATAATATTGTAGCCGATACACTTTCTAGACCGCCTGAAATCTTTGCTTTTTCTAACCAAAATATTAACCTTGAAATACTTTATAAAGAACAACAAGGAGATGAGGAATTAAAAAATCTGATAAGTGATAAGAAAACGAAAATAATTTGAAAGAAGTTGATATTCCATCACATAATTTTAAAATATGGTGTGATATTTTAGATAAAACTAATCGTCCCTTTGTTCCACTCTCTTTAAGAAAAACAGTTTTTCATAATTTACATTCTATATCACACCCAGGAATTCGTGCAACACGAAAACTGATACAAAGTAAATATTTTTGGCCATCAATGCGAAAAGATATAAATTTTATGGCTTCTAATTGCATTGATTGTCAAAAATCAAAGATCCAAAGATATACCAAATCTGACATTGAGAAAATAATATTCCCCAAGCAAGGTTCGAACACATACACATGGACATCGTCGGACCTTTTCCAGTTTCAAATGGAAATAAATATATTTTGACAATAATTGACAGATTCACTAGATGGCCGGAAGCATACCCAATTAAAGACATTACAGCCCAAACAATAGTAAACACTTTCGCATACAATTATATCCCTAGATTTGGCGTTCCACTTAAAATTACGGTTGACCAAGGAACACAATTTACATCTAAATTATTTAACGATTTAACGAAGCTTTTAGGAACACATAAAATCCATACATCCAGTTATCACCCGCAAGCGAATGGAATGATTGAACGCTTTCATCGACAATTAAAAACTGCTTTTAAATCTAGTAACAATGTGAAAAATTGGTCTGAACAATTACCCATAAAGGAAGAACTCAAATGTTGTCCTTCTGAATTAGTTTATGGTCAAACATTGAGACTACCTGGTGATATGGTAGTTAAAAATAATAATATTCCAACTTTTGATGAACTACTCCAAAGACTAAGATCACATTTTAATACAGTTCAAAGCAAAGTTATTCATCATAGTAATAGTAATAATTGTTTTATACCTAAAGATCTTTGGAATTGTGAATATGTTTTTGTTAAAATACTTAGACCGAACAGTTTAGAATGCCCTTATGAAGGACCCTTTAAAGTTATTCAAAAGAATAAAAACACTTTTAATATCCAATGTGGTAATGTTATTAAAACTCACTCAATTGATCTACTAAAACCAGCACATATTGACAATCAACACAACTATCAAATAATAAACCTAACACAACCTTCCACATTCAATAATAAGTTATTTTTCTTTTAATTCTATTACTGGTGGGGGAGTAATGTAGTGTATCACTACATACTTCTATTTCTTTTAAAAACTTGTATTATTTACTTTATGTTATTATGTTTTTAAATAAAGTTTTATATTTTTTTATTTTCAAACTTGTCTTTATAATTTTCCATTCAACAAATAAATTTTGTACAAAGAAGTTATTATAATAAATAAACCTTTTTATAAAATAAAATAACTTCAACAATATACTAAGAAATTTACTCTGTACCAAAAATTGTAATGATATCCCAATTTTACCAAATTTAAGAACTTAAGACTTTTGAATAAGCGATATGTCAGAAGAAAGTGCGTCAAATTCATTTGCAGGAATAGGGAAAATACAATATACTAAGAAATTTACTCTGTACCAAAAATTGTAATAAAATCCCAATGTTACTAATTTTAAAAACTAAAGATTCTTAAAGATTCGATATGACAAAAGAAAGTGGGTTTCTTACAATATACTAAGAAATTTACTCTGTACCAAAAATTGCAATGATGTCCCAATTTTAAGAACTTAAGATTTTTGAATAAGCGATATGTCAAAAGAAAGTTCGTTTCTTATGGATTAAAATGAGGTATACAAAACTGTCGCAGCTGGAAAACTGTCAAAGTTATTTGCAGGAATAGGGAAAATACAATATACTAAGAAATTTACTCTGTCCAAAAAATTGCAATGATATCCCAATTTTACCAATTTTAAGAAGTTATTTGCAGGAATAGGAAAAAATACAATATACTAAGAAATTTACTCTGTACCAAAAATTGCCATGATATACCAATTTTACCAATTCTAGGAACTTAAGATTTTTGAATAAGAGAAAGTGGGTTTCTTATGGATTAAAATGAGGTATACAAAACTGTCGTAGCTTGAAAACTGTCAAAGTAATTTGCAGGAATAGGGAAAATACAATATACTAAGAAATTTACCCCGTACCAAAAATTGCAATGATATCCCAATTTTGAGAATTTAAGGTTTACAATAGGCGATATGTCAAAAGAAGATGCGTTTCTTATGGATTAAAATGGGTATACAAAACTGTCGCAGCTTGAAAACTGTCAAAGTTATTTGCAGGAATAGGGAAAATACAAAATACTAAGAAATTTACTCTGTACCAAAAATTGCAATTATATCCCAATTTTACCAATTTTAATAACTTAAGATTTTTGAATAAGCGATATGCCAAAAGAAAGTGCGTTTCTTATAGATTAAAATAAGGTACACAAACTGTCGTAGCTTGAAAACTGTTAAAGTTATTTGCAGGAATAGGGAAAATACAATATACTAAAAAATTTACTCTGTCCCAAAAATTGCAATAATATCCCAATTTTAAGAACTTAAGATTTTTGAGTAAGCGATATGTCAAAAGAAAGTGAGTTTCTTATGGATTAAAATGAGGTATACAAAACTGTCGTAGCTTGAAAACTCTCAAAGTTATTTTCAGGAATAGGGAAAATACAATATACTAAGAAATTTACTCTGTACCAAAAATTTTTACGATTTCCCAATTTTAAGAATTTTAAGAACTTAAGATTTTTGAATAAGCGATATGTTAAAAGAAAGTGGGTTTCTTATGGATTAAAATGAGGTATACAAAACTGTTGTAACTTGAAAACTATGAAAGTTATTTGCAGGAATAGGGAAAATACAATATACTAAGAAATTTACTCTGTACCAAAAATTGCAATGATATCCCAATTTTACCAATTTTAAGAAGATATTTGCAGGAATAGGAAAAATACAATATACTAAGAAAATTACTCTGTACCAAAAAATTGCAATGATATCCCAATTTTGAGAACTTAAGTTTTTTGAGTAAGCGATATGTCAAAAGAAAGTGCTTTTCTTATGGATTAAAATGAGGTATACAAAACTGTCGTAGCTTGAAAACTGTCAAAGGTATTTGCAGGAATAGGGAAAATACAATACAAATTATTGGCAGGAATAGGGAAAATACAATAATATAATAACCCTCTTATTCACAAACAAATTTGTATTTTATAAAAAGTTTATAAATTAGATTTTGTATGGAAATTTGTTTTATAAACCTTTTATAAATAAAAATGTTGTTTGTGAATAAGGGGGTAAGAAATTTACTCTGTACCAAAAATTACAATGATATCCCAATTTAAGAATTAAAGATTTTTGAATAAGCGATATGTCAAAAGAAAGTGCGTTTCTTATGGATTAAACTGAGGTATACAAAACTGTCGTAGCTTGAAAACTGTCAAAGTAATTTGCAGGAATAGGGAAAATACAATATACTAAGAAATTTACCCCGTACCAAAAATTGCAATGATATCCCAATTTTGAGAATTTAAGGTTTTTCAATAGGCGATACGTCAAAAGAAGATGCGTTTTCTTATGGATTAAAATGGGGTATACAAAACTGTCGCAGCTTGAAAACTGTCAAAGTTATTTGCAGGAATAGGGAAAATACAAAATACTAAGAAATTTACTCTGTACCAAAAATTGCAATTATATCCCAATTTTACCAATTTTAAGAACTTAAGATTTTTGAATAAGCGATATGCCAAAAGAAAGTGCGTTTCCTATAGATTAAAATAAGGTACACAAAACTGTCGTAGCTTGAAAACTGTTAAAGTTATTTGCAGGAATAGGGAAAATACAATATACTAAAAAATTTACTCTGTCCCAAAAATTGCAATGATATCCCAATTTTAAGAACTTAAGATTTTTGAGTAAGCGATATGTCAAAAGAAGTGAGTTTCTTATGGATTAAAATGAGGTATACAAAACTGTCGTAGCTTGAAAACTCTCAAAGTTATTTTCAGGAATAGGGAAAATACAATATACTAAGAAATTTACTCTGTACCAAAATTGCAATGATATCCCAATTTTAAAAAACTAACAAGTAAGAGTGTTATATTCGGCCATGCCGAATCTTTTATACCCACCATCAAATCATCCTTATAAATAAACTTTGATATTATCGATCTTTTGGGAGAGGGAATTTAATAAGGGCTTAAGCATGGACCGTGCTCTTCCCAATTAAAATATTACTTTTGTTTGATCCAATATTCATAACCATAAACTGTTTTTTGTAAGAGTGGTTATATGGAGGGGTAGAGTCAATTATGGACCTATCCTTGTCTGTTTATACAATAATTATTTGTATCTAATGTAGCTGTACTTGTATCTTTAATTCAGTCATGAGGTTTGAAGTCATTATCTGAAGGAAACCGAAAATGGGTGTTTGATTAGTTATCGACCAATTTTCATCAAATTCAGTTGAAAAATACCGTAACTTGGAAGAACTTTTGAGCTATACATGAGCGTTAAATTGATTCTAGGGTCAATTATAGACCGATTTTTATAAACTTTCGTACATAAATTACGTTCGTAAGTCGTAATTTTAAGCAACTATTGAGAGTTAAAGTAATTTTACTGAAGTGGTCATTTATCGATCCATCTTCATCAATGTCGGTAGGAAGATTTCAGTTCCCATAACACTTATGTTGAATTGCATATATCTATTTTCATCAAATTCAGTTGAAAAATACCGTAACTTGGAAGAACTTTTGAGCTATACATGAGCGTTAAATTGATTCTAGGGTCAATTATAGACCGATTTTTATAAACTTTCGTACATAAATTACGTTCGTAAGTCGTAATTTTAAGCAACTATTGAGAGTTAAAGTAATTTTACTGAAGTGGTCATTTATCGATCCATCTTCATCAATGTCGGTAGGAAGATTTCAGTTCCCATAACACTTATGTTGAATTGCATATATCTACTCGTATTTTTATGCCAGTAATGAGCGTTAAAGGCGCCCCTATACCCCCGTATAAGTCAATTATTGATCGATACTTCTAAAATTGTCGCATTTTTGAGCCAGTAATGAGCTTTAAAGTAATTTTCTAATGGGGACCTTAATAGGGGCATAGGGTAGGGGCTCATACAAAACTTGTTTATGTGAAATTTCATCGCTGTAGTCGCTGCTATCGCACTGCTGTAATCGCATTTTTGAGTCAGTAATGAGCGTTAAAGTCATTTTCTGAAGCGGACCTTATAGGGGCGTATGGTTAATTACAGACTGATCCTCATAAAATTTAGTGGGAGATTTTAACTAATACGAAAATTGTTCATGTCGAATTTCATCGCTGTACACGCAGTTTTAATCTAGTAATGAACTTTAAAGTCATTTTCTGAAGGGGACCTTACAAGGGGGATAGAGCTAATTAAGGACCAATCCTTATAAAATTTGATAAAGAACTTTTGGCCCGCACAAAACTTGTTTATGTAGAATTTTACTACTGTACTCACATTTTTGAGTCAGTAATAAGCCTAAAAGTCATTTTCTGAAGGGGACTTTATATGGGGGGTAGGGTCAATTATGGACCGATCCTTATAAAATTATATGAAGAGATTTATGTTCCCATAAAACATGTTTGTGGCGAATTTCACCGCCATTGATGCTTCTCTTAGCCAGTTATGGTCGATAAAGTCATTTTCTGAAGGGGACTTTAAATGGGGGGTAGGGTCAATCCTTATAAAATTTCACAAAGAGATTTAGGTTCCCTTAAAACATGTTTGTGGGCGAATTTCACCGCTATTGATGCTTCTCTTAGACGTTATGGGCAATAAAGTCATTTTCTGAAGGGGACTTTATATGGGGGGGTAGGGTAATTATGGACCGATCCTTATAAAAATTATATAAAGAGATTTGTGTTCCCATAAACATGTTTGTGGCGAATTCACCGCTATTGATGCTTCTCTTAGCCAGTTATGGTCGATAAAGTTATTTTCTGAAGGGGACTTATATGGGGGGGTAGGTCAATTATGGGCCTATCCTTATAAAATTTTACAAGAAATTTAGGTTCTCATTAAACATGTTTGTGCCGAATTTCGCCGCTATTGACGTTTTCTTAGCCAGTTATGAGCGATAGAGTCATTTTCTGAAGGGGACTTTATATGGGGGGTAGGGTCAATTATGGACCGATCCTTATAAAATTATATGAA